AGAGTACGGCTCTGAGTTTTTTGGAGAGAGCTGGAAGGTGTGAGATCTTGAATCCTGCTCCCAGATGGCTCTAAGGTTAGATCAGGAGCTGGTTTGACCAGTTGCGCATCATGTCAGGCAACTGCTTTGCAAATGGTTTGTTTTTCGGTTCTGACAATGGAAGCTCATGGGAGTGTTCAGCTTAAGAAGGGTTTCAAGGTTTGTGCATGGAGGGGGAGGAATCCAGAAGAGCTGGGGAGAATATACAGAAACGGAGATGGGAGATATGAAGTGCTTTCCTTTGGGCAGGTGTTTTAGTTTCACTCTGAATATGAATTAGAATCAGCCTTATCTGTGCAAAACAGATCATCAGAAAAATAGTAGCTGAAACAAGAGTAAAGTTTATATCTTGCTAATGCTGAAGTTCAGAGACATTCTTCCCATTGTTGTGCTGATGTCCTTGCCCCACAAAGTCCTGTGGGACTGAAACTCCTTCTGGGGTATGGCTCCATGTGTGTGAGCTCCATTTCAAGCCATCACATGAACTAGCTTATCATTCAAGTTCCAGCCATCACATCTACCTTCTGGACAGCCAAAAGAAGAAAAAAATGAAGAAAGAAGAGCAGAAGACAAATGTCTTTTATAGAAAATTCTGGAAGCTAGTGAAACTTTTACTTGCATCTCATTGGCTAAAATTAGTCACATGGTGAGAGCTACCCGTAAAGGGGGCTGGGAAATACAGTCTTTCTCCTGGATAGTTCTAAACTTAAAGAACGCAAGATTTCATTACCCTAACTGAAGAATGGTCTTTTGGAGGCAACTAAAAATTCTGCCATCTCCAGAAAGAATGAAGATAGCATCTTTTATGCAAAAGCATCCTAAAATTTTCTTTAATTAAATTTCTTTAGAAAAGTGGTAGGAAATGTGAATTCCTATGCACTGAAATGCTGATGTTTTCACTTCACTTCGGATTACAGAGGATTTACAGTCTCTACAAAGCTAAAGTACGAGAGGTTATGGAGGGCCTTAGATTAAGTACCTTAATGGAGAGTAGGGTTTGAGGGAAGGAAGACTGAAGGGGAAAGACAAACTCTGTGTGTGTGTCCCAACCCCAAGCTTGTTTCTCTTGGGCAATATGACTACTTCCTGTGGTCGGTATTGTTTATTTTGGGTTTACATTTGAAAGCTGAGATTGTCAAAGGGATTCAGTTTTGGACATTGAAAAAACACTTGGCAAATTTCCAAGGGAAGAAGACCCAAAGCAAAGTTGCTATGAAACGTCACCTGCAGGTTGGCCACAACTAATGGTGCAGGATGGCATTTCAGGGAGTGGTAACCAGAAATGTAATCCTACCCTGGGTACACAGGCATGAACAATGCTGTTTGTCTCCCCACTGAGGCACTGATGCTGGATGAACTTGGATGTTAGTGTGGGGACACGCATGGGGAAGAATTCGATGAAAGGTGAGAAGAGTTCCTCATTTTTGGCAAGGTGATCTGAAATCCTCCCAGAACTTATCATGAGCTTACTTAGACCATCGGGCCTGCCCAGCTTTTCTCCCTCCCACTCCCTGCTCCTCTGTGTCCTTCTTGTTCTCAGTATCAGTGACAGTGCTACTAACTCAGTCAGACACTGCTAAGTACTTTGTGAGAATAACCTCTACTAATCACCATAGCAGTCTTACGAGTCTGATAGCTTTATTTTCCTATTGGAATGTAAAGGATCCAGTCTCAGAGAGGCTAAGTCACATAACACACAAACACAGCTGCAAAGGGGGAGAGTCAGGCTCATATTCAGATATTTCCAACTCCCAAGTCTGCTTCGGCTACTCCATTTAAAAATGGCACCATTCTCTAACCCAAGGATATGTCTCCTTACACAGTGCTGGCTGAAGGGTAGATGCTTACGGCCACCTATGTCTATAATACCTTCCCTGCTTCCCAGGATGTGTGCATGAGAGATCCCGAGTGTCTTTGTGGGGGACATGGTATTGCCTTGCCACAACCCTCCGAGCTGCACTCTCCACTCCGCCCCCTCATATAAGCTAAAAATTGCCCAGCTCACAACTGAATGTGTCTTGAAAGACTAGAGTTGGCAATCCTGGGCAGGTGCAATCACTTGACAGGGGCCATGTGCCAGGCAAGGCACTCCCTGCTGGGCATACGGGGTGAACAAGACAAAGAAGACTGTTGTTCTCATAGAGATGGGCACTAAACAAATAAACACAGTAATTACAGGTAGTGCGAAGTGCTGTGGAAGACAGCAAGTGGGGTGGGGAATGGGGAACCAACTTTAGGCAGGGGCACCCCTACATGGGCCCTCTACACACACACAGTTGCCCCATCTGAGGTTCTCTCCCCTTCTTTTCTTCCCTAATCTTTTTTCTTTTCTTGGCCAAGTCCTCCCCATCAGCCAGCATCTGCCTAAAGGCCAGGTTTTCTTGTGATACCTATCTTGACCCTTCATGGCTGTTTTAGATGCCACTAGCAACTGTGTGACCTGGGGATACCTATCTGTGTCCCAGTTTCTGCATCTGAAAAATGGCTATTAAAATACATCTATCTCATAAAGAGATTGTGAACAGGGATACTTAAGTAATTAATGATAATATGTGAGAAGCCTGTGGAAGCATGTCTGACATGTACCAGGTCCTGTGTAAGTGCTGGGTGCTGTTGCTGATCTTACTGACATCACAGTAGTAGCTTATAGTGCACTGTAGGTTATCAGAGCTGGGTAGCATTTTAGGTATCATCTAATTCAGTGCTTCTCCGGCCTGGTTTCATGTTGGAATGCCTTAGGAGGCCTTTCAGAAACACTGACAACTGGCAGCCACCCTCCAGGATGTTTCTTATCTCAACAGTGAAACTCAAAATTGTAGATAGTTACACAAAGTTCACAGGTGGTGTTAATGCATAGCCAGGGTGAAAGCCTCTGGTTTAATTCAATCCCTTTTAACAGATAAAAGTAGTGTTTGCTTAGGGTTGTAGAGAAAGATAGGAGTCAGCCCTGGCTTTGGGAAGTTATGCTTTCTGATATGGTTTCTTTCACGCCACTGTCCCCTCTCTAGCACCGAGTAGAAAGGCTGAATGTGTGCCTGGTCACTACTTCTTGGTCCTTGGGCAGCTGCCCTTCTGGCCTGGTAGCAGATAGAGCTCTCTGGAAGAAAGTCTCTCTCCCCTGCAGCCAGGACAGCTTGGGCTGGGATGGGGGTGGAGCACCTGCTCAGGCCAATCACCAGAAAAACAAACTCGTGGATTCCTGTAACCGAGAGCCAGAGCAGGAGATGGAAAGGTAAAGAAAGTTCTCTCCACAAATCACCAAGAGGAAGCTGACATCAGTCAGAGGGACAGCCTCCTGACAGCCATTCTTCCTGTAAAAAGTCGTCTTATCAGAAGCCATGTGGAGGGCTAGCTCTGAGCTGATGAGGCTCACAGCTTCAGGAGTGAAGCGGCATAGCAGAAATAGCCCGGGGCCACAGATCCAAGTACCCAGTGCTGGTGGTATGGCCTTGTGCTAGAACCTCAACTTTGTCTTCTGTCAAACAGAGCTCAGTAGCACTAGGAAAACAACATAAGTCACTGGGTACAAATGACACATGGTAGTTGGCCCATAAAAATTATTATTAATAATAAATATTAATCACTATTATTTATTGATGAAGCGTCAGAATAAGATGCTGGTTGTTGCTTTACTCAAGACTGTTTTGAAAGAGAGAAATCAGTATGTGGGAGTTGCAGGGGAGTAGAGAATAGCCATGGATTTCCCCAAAGGCGGTTATCCTGTTCATTTGAACCCCAAGGCACACATCTATCTGGGTAGGACACATGCCTAGCAATGTCGCAATCTGTTTTGTTTGATATTCTTCCCTCAATCAACTGCACGATGGGGCGGTGCGAGTACCTCCTGGTAGCCCTGGGGGTGAGGTATGGTGGACACTTCTTCCTCTGTGGCCCCTGGGATGGCATGTCACTCCTGTATATACACACACTCACTCACACGTGTGCACACACAAATTATTTTGACCTATATAGTGCTTCGAAAAGCAGCAAGTCAGGAATATTATTTTTAAAAATCAAGATATTTTAGTGAAAAATCAGGTTTTGCTGAATTGGAGATTTGGCGACCCCGAGCTGAAATTTTTACTTGGTCTGTGCATAACTGGCTTCCTGTTTCCCCACAGTCCAACCGCGTCCACTCCCCTCCCCTGGCTGTTTTCAACCCCTGCCCTTGAGGGAAGATCATGTCCTAATGTACACTGACAACACTGCTGGACGCCCCCACTTTTCCAACTTGGCTGCTTTGGGCTGTTTACATGAGCTCCACTGCCACAGTACAGGTTCGGTTTGGAAAACAGTAATTTTGTTCACAGCGTTCATTGCATGCTTTCTGAGCACCTCTTTTAAAAACCTACCTCACTGGAGTTTCCAAAAGGAGCCAGGGAGGTAACTGTTGGCATCTCATTTTACAGATGAGCAAACCAAATACCCACAGGGTATAGTCCTTGTCCAGTGCCACAGAGCTGGTACTGGCGGGGCCTAGACTTAAATCCAAGTCTCTGGGCTCTAAAAGTCTGTGCCTGATGCTGAACTTGCTCCCAGTGATCAAGGTCTCAAGATGAAGCGACTGCACCAAAGAAGGCCAGCTGCTCATTACACAAAGCGAAGTGGAGTCAGCCTGCCTGGATTCGGTCACTGACTCTGGAGACTGGCTATTGAGCAGGTCTCTTAACTATACCAGGCTTTAGATTCCCTTTTGGTGGTAAGAAGACCCTAAGTCCTGCCTCATCGGATTGTAGTATAGTTATATCTAAGACGATTGGAAAGGTCTCCTCAGGCACTCCATAGATACTGCTAATGTGTATATGAAACTTAAATACTCACTGGTAAGTCGGGAAGATTAAAGGAATGAGCTGAGCGTGGTGAGCATAGGTGACATACAGCAGATGCTGTGCAAGGTTCCCTAGCTCCTTGGCTCCCTCCCTTCTCTGGGTACCCCATGTGGACAGAGGACGCTGGGCCACTTGTGAGAACACCATAGCATGGGACCTTTAATTAGAACAATGACTTGTTTCATACAGGCTGAAAACCCGGAAACCCCGGGAGGGTGATGCTTAGCTGTGGAAACCAAAAATCAAGCAAGCCACGGCCACTGTGTAGCTGGGTAGAGGACACGGTCCTAGGATGCTGGAGGACACAGCAGGTTCTTTCTTTCCCACGTGGATGCTCCAGGCAAAGACTGGCTTGTCAGGCTGCGCTGGGCTGGTGATGGGTCCTCTGGCTTGGGATTTTCCAAATGGTAGTGCCAGTCCTCAATAAAGAGACCTATATAGGCTTGAGGTACACTAAGACCTGGGCCAAAGTGGTGGGTTCTGCTAGCTCCCAGGTCAATTACCACTTGAGGGAACAGCTAAGAGTAAGGGGAGAAGAGTTACAGTGCAGAAGAAAAGGTCTTCAGAGCGCAGGGCTCTGAAGAAAGGACTACCAAGGGAGTGTGGGGACATAGAGCCAGGCAGATCCAAGTTTAATGGAGTTTGAGCATGACAGTTTCCTGCCAGGCCTCAGTTTTTCCATCTGAAAAATGGTCACAGGACCCATATCACTGTTTTATTGGAATGATTGTACAAAATATAATCTGACAATGAACAGTAGTTAAATCCAGGGCCCGCAAAGCCAGTTTGCTCTTTCTCATGATGACTCAGGATCAGTGGGCTTGGAGAGAAGTTCAAACTAAGTACAGAGGAGTTAGGACTACAAAGAGTTATCAAAGTGCATGGCACCTGAAGGTCTTCCAAATCTGACCACAGGATCCAGCTGTTGCAACCTGTCTCAGAAAATGATGTCTGTGCCCTATCCTTTTGTATCTTTCATTCGTGGGCACCCTTAACCTACAGCAGAAGACACAGAGACACTTTCCAACTGTATGGAATCAGTAGCATCAGAGCTAAAGTCCCCCAGCCCATGCTGCCAACAACACTGAGGTCAAGCCCCACTTTACAGATGGTAAGACTGAGGCCCCCAAGACCCATTCCATTTCATCCCCACAGACACACAGGCAAGAGAGTCACAAAGGATTGCCATTCCATTCTCTGGTTTAGCTCACGAGATGGTGAGGCATAGCTACTCTTGGCTGTAGAAGCAGGGTTACAATTTTCTTTCTCTTTCTTTTTTCTTTCAAGGAGTTTTGACTTTTTAATATAAGTTGGTTCATGCACAGGCATTTTATTCTTCAATTAATTTCCATCTAAATGAGGTTTCCCAGAGATAACCAGTGTTTTAGTTCCATTTGGGCTTAATTTGTATGACGGAAGCCTCTGTTTCTGCCAATTCCAATTTGTTCGGTGATTCTAGCACTCATTACCTGGCTGATAATCTCCTGCTGCAGACAGCAGCACCTGAGCTGAGATGGACCTATTTTCACTAGCAATTCAGTGGAGGAGGTGGTCTCTCTCCTTCCCTAATATCACTCAATAAATAGGAAATAAATTATTAAATAATCCATGTTTTGAGGAGGATTTCCTCTCACGGTATTTACAATGCAAAGCAACAACCACCAAAGAACAAAAATGAGAACAAAACAAAACTAAAAAAATAAATACTCAAACATACAAATAAACAAACGGAACTGGCCACAGGCAGAGAGGAGACTACTATGTAGATCACTGCCTCATTTGGTATAGAAATAAGGGAGGAGAGGTTTTGATTTAAAAAAAAAAACTCAATGACATTATACCTGATTTAAGACTTTCAGATGGATTAAGTTAGCCAGCTGGATAGGGGGCATGTTTTAAGGAATTCTGTTTCTGACATTGTTTTATCAGACTAACAGTTCTATTAAGTTGGAGGGGGAAGCTAAGCAACGTGGGTGCATGAGACTATTTTTGAATGTTTGTGAGAAACAAGAAATAAAGAGACTACAACAGGAGGAAGACAAAAGTTGAGCTTGTGAAGAATAAAAAAATGCTTCCTGCATCCTTTGGCAGCGTCTTAAATTTTGACCTCTTCAAGCAAAACATTTGGGCCAATGAAGCAAGGGAGAGACTGAAACTGAGATCCTTCTGTCTTGCCAAGTCCTTCATTTAATTCTGCTTCTGAAATACTGAGTTTCCTTCGAAGAAGGAAAGAGAGGCAGGAATGTGGTCAAACTTTGTTGAACTGGAATGGTTCTATGCTGGGGGCTTTGAGTTAGCTTTTCCTAAGTAACTGAAAAGGATTCATATCTTGCTTTTTTTTCCCCAGCGTATCTTGCTTTCATTTTTTGTTCTTGTGATTGAAAACCTCCTAAAAATCTTTGAACATCTTTTCATCTTTCCTCTGAGTCTCAGTGAAACCTACTGTCTTTGGTGAGTCTCCTAGGGCTCAGGTCAACATTTGTGATTATTTCTCAAAAATTTCTCCACTTCAGAGAGGTGAGAACTTTGGCCCAGGGTAAGGGATCAATTTGTCCAGTTTCACTGATTTAACTGCATACGCATGGCAAGAAGGGCAAAGGGCTGGACAATCTCATCTGGCATCCCCTGCCATCTTGGATGGTGGTTTTTGAGCCTAGTCCTTCTAGTGAGCTACCTCATTCGCTGGGAGCAGAAGGTGTGAGGATAAGGGGGCTTAGGAACAACCATACTAGGGAATGATGACTTTAGCCTCAGTAAGAATTCTATTTTTGGATAAAATAAAAGAAGTGTAAACAAAATTAGAGAAATGTACTTCGGGGTGGAGAATTTCCCCCTGGGAAGCAGCTTGCAAACCTTCTTCAGGATATTGGGTGTTCCCTTGCTTGAGTTAGGGCAGGGTAGCCACGTTACTAGGAAGATACCCCGGGATGTTGCAAGAGTTTTACCAGATCCAAAGCTGCACCAGGCAAGCTGACACCTGCAAGGCCATCGATGGAAAGGACAAGGGCCCTCTCAGCCAGCAGCCTGAAGATACTGTCAGTCGAGAGACGCTGGACTGATTAAGCCTGTGGGTCCTGGCTTCCTGTGATGGGCTCAGAAATGACTTCCTTGGGGGGCAACATCTACACGTTTCCTCTATTTTATTTCATTTCCTAACTTCAGTCTGGGTGCCTTCCAAAGTTACTAGGAACTTCAATTTGGTACAGCTTAACCTTAAATGCTCATTTTTAGACTCTAGCCCCCAATGTTAGCTGTGACCCCACTGTGTCAGTTCAGTGTCTTAGTTCATGAGTTCTTTGGCTGCTCTTCCTAATACCTCAGTGAGGTAGCTGGTGGGCGGGGCCTGGGGCCTGGGCATGAACTTCTCAGCATCTTGATGAGTAATAAACCTGGGGACTCATGTACTTCTGGGCCAATTCTAGAATGATCCGGACTTAGAAGTTTCAGGGGAAAGAACATCCCTTTTCACATTTGGCCTCTTAAATCACATCCATAAATACATAACAAAAAAAAAGAGATGCATAAAAATAACTTACAAGTTCTCCTACCTCCTGAAACATGTTATACATACACACAAAAAAAATCTTTCTCATATAAATAAACAAATTAATAAATAAATAAATACTGCTAGTGGTGAAAGAAAGCTATCATCACATAAATAAATAAATAAACAAACAAATAAATAAAATAAATAAAAGTTTTGCTAGGAGCCTTAGGCAAAATGGTCCCCTGGAGTTGTCTGCATGGGAGGCGCCCATGCCTCTCTTAGCCAACCTGCTAAGGAGGTTTGGTGGCTTCAGGAAGCCTTTGTCTCCATGAAGAGAGACGAGTCCAGTCTGGGTTCCTGGGCGGGGAAGAGGGTTATTTACAGTTGCTGTACATGTCCTCCTGGGGCACGCGCCCCATCCCAGGCACCTGCCATCCGGCCTTCTGCAGTGACAGCATTGGGATCCACGAGTCCTGGTGGACAGGCTTTGGTCTGGGCTAGAAGCCATAGTGGGAAGGCCAGGTTATACACTGCAGCCTGCGGACAGATGCTTCTCTCTTGTGCTGGAGGCAGGACGTTCAGAGGGGTTGCCACCCCTGGGGAGTTCTCATCCCCCTCCCTCCCAGAGGGGAGCTGATATGATGGGAAAGATCAAGCAAGAGATTACTGTTTCCAAGAAGAAAAGCATTTTCCAAGCATTCTCCTTGGAGTGGGAAGGCTCTGTGCTCCCCCACAACCCCATGACCCCAAACTGAAACTGGAAATTGTCCTCCTTGCTCTGTCCCTTCATGCCCTGTCCTGTTGCTACTGCCACCCAAACTTGAGACTCACCCACAAGGCTCCGGAAAGCCATGCAGCTGGTGAGGGGGATGCCCTGGAGTTATTTTAGGGAGCTTCTCCCTGGCCTGTGTGTTCTCAGTGCCTTCCGCAGATGAAGCAGCTGGTGGTATTTGTGTGTCAGAGGGCAGCTTACCCTTGCTGCCTAGTCCTGGGCAGGGGACATGTGGGTGAGGGCAGAAATGAAGCCAGCGCTTTCCCAAGCTGACAAGAAATCTCAGAAACTAGCAAAAGCCCAGATATGGAGCACTCGAGACCCTTACCTGCAGACTCTCTGAATTTGAGTCTTTGTTCCATCCTGGCAAAAATCCTGAGGCAAGGAAAGTGGTTTAGGCTGAAGGGTGGGAGGGGAAATGCCAGGCTGCCCTGGATAGCATTGGGGTGTGGCAGGCTGGGAAGAGGGGAGGGGGTGGACGTGCGCCAACCGGAGGACAAGGCCAGACTGGCTGGCGCTGGGGGCTGGCAGCTGGCCACGGCACCAGAGAATGCTCAGCAGATGGTCCCATGGAATTAAGTCAGTGCCAGCTAGCAGGACTGAGGCAAACTAGGGACACAGGTCTGTGTCAGGGCTGTCCTGACTGTTCACTGCCTCTCTTCCTGTGGGGTGGCCAAGGACAATGTTCTATGAACATGGAGCCTGATGGGCTCCTTCCCCTGACCACGTTAGCATATTGGAGGTAACAGGTGACCTCTGCTTTTTGCTTCTGCACTTATAATCAGGGATCTCATCTCTAATCCCCTGACATCTGCCACCATCTCCAGTGTCCACGTCCCCTATACATGCACGTCCTCTCTGTTAGGCCCCTCCAGCCTTAGCTCTGCACTGTTTGGAGAGGTTAAAGGCTTGGCTCTTTACCTCAGACTTCAACTGCCCTTTGCCTCCACCCTCACCTGTTCTTGGGATGGGGGCCCATAAACGTGCAGCTACGAGGGTGGATGGCAGGAAAAATGAAAATGAGGGCAGGTGGGATGAGCCCCCTTGGCCTTCTGTACACATCCTGCGAGCAGTGAGTGAGCAGATTTGTCTCCACACATTGCTAGCCAAGTCCAAAGCTTTTGAGTCATGGACCCATTGCTTCTCACAAAACTGTGAGGTTTGCTATGCAAGGAAAAAAAAAAGGGGGGGTTCTCTCCATATGCCCGGGCCTGAGTTGAGCCCCAGGGTGGTGCTGGTAGAGGCTCCTATCAACTGGACAGAGGGAGGAAAGCTCCTATACCCTCTTTTCCTCTCCCAGGAAAGCAGGCAGGACAGGGTCCAGGAGCCCTGTATATCTGTCACCAGCAGAAGGTAGATGGGGCAGGTGTAGGAGAGGCTGGCAGAGCAAAAAGGGTCCCGCGAGCAGCTGGCTCAAGGGATAGCCTCTGCCTAGCGCCTCGTGCTCGAGTAGCTGTCTGCTGAGCTGTAACTCCGGCTCCGGCTCCGACTCCGACTCCGGCTCCGGGAGCCCAGGCTTGGGCTGCGGGAGCCGGAGCTGCTGCTACTGCGGGTCCTGCTCCGGCTCCTGCTCCGGCTCCGACTTCGGCTGCGGCTCTGACTGCGACTCCTGGAATAGCTGCGGCTGGCTGAGCGGCTGCTGCTACTGCTGTACCAGGAGGAGGCGCTGCTGAGGCTGCTGGACGAGGAGGGGCTGGGCCGGTAGTAAGGGATGGGGCGTTTCCGGGCACTGCGGGAGACCAGAGCGAGGACCGTGAGGGCTGGGCTGCTGCTTGTTCCCCAGAAAAGCAGTAGCTTTTCATCCCCCTTCCCTTAGGGGAAGCTAGCAAAACCCTCTCCCTTCCTTTTCACATCTCTTGCAGTTCTGAGAGCATCAAAAAAATCTCAGTTTAGTGTTGAACTGTCTTGAAAAGTGATAATCTCACCTATTTTTCTTTTCTTTCTTTCTTTTTCTTATATGTTTTAACAAAGCAAGCCCGGGTCTCAGAGCATCTAGCCTCCAGATGTAGTAGAACACACATCTAAATATTAATTGCATTTTGGTTTTGCCATTTTTATTTTTACTAGAACTTTCTATTTCTAGAAGGTTCTATTTCTAGGTGAGACAGGCCGATTTTTCATTTGCTGTGATGTATCAAGTTTCCTGAAAGGGGTATACTGTATAACATGGAAAGAAAATTAAATCAACAGTAAATCAAGACAAAAGTGGTAAAGCTGCAGACTGGTGACGGAAGTTTGGGAAACACCGAATGGGTCAACTGAGATGGATTACTCGGGGTTGACTGAGGGTGTTTTGAAAATGCCACTACCTCCCTCTTAGCCTTCCTCCAAATTAATGCAAGGGACTGGCTTGGGTTTCTGGGTTCTTCCATTCATCTCCAATCAAAAGTCCAAGAAAAATCCATGAAAATAGAAACAAAAAATGAGTTTATTTACAATTGACCAAACTAGAGTACACAAGAGTGTCAGGCAGAAGAAAAGCCAGGAAATACCCACATGGAGATTTGGTCAGGCTTTGGCCTGGAAGAGGAGAAAAGCATTGAATCCTGCTGGGTGTTAGGTCTAGTAGGTGGCAGTTTACGCTCTCATCATGAAGAAACTTGGAGAAACAATTTGTCTTTAAAAAAATAACTTTTAAAGAACTTAAGTTAAAAAACTTTTAAAGACCCACTTTACTCTCTTGATTACAAAGGATATCTTTAATCGAGGCCCACAGTTGAGGCGGGAGCTCTGTGGAGTAGCTGAGGAAGGGACCACATCACCCTGGTCTTCCTGTTGGACTCCTGCCTTGTTTTCTCCTGGGAGGAGATGCTGGACTGACAGGCTCCCTGCTCTCCATGGGCCGCTGCATGGAGTGGATGGATGTCGCTGGAGGGGCCAGTCCGATTTTAGGACAGCATTCAGTCATTCTCCAGCCTTCACCGCCTTAGAAATCAGTTTCCCCTGAGACCTTGGGCTTCTCTGCCCCAGCTTTGCTCCTCTGTGGCATTCCGAGTTACAGGTAACCTTATCCACCTATTCAGTCCATAATAATGGCACTCAGCGTGTTCTGCATTTATGTTTACAAAGTGCAGTCACCTCTCTTTGCTTCCTTTCATGTCATCTCATGATAGTCCTGGGAGTTATTTCCTCCAGTATTTCATGGGAGAGAAAACAGCCTCAGGGAAGTGAAGAGACTCTTTAGGTCACCTAAGAAGCTGCACAACCAGAATTTGACTCCAAATCTAGGGTTTTCCCCATTACCCACCAATCCTCCCTTCAGAGTGTAACTACCTGCAGGTCTATTTAAATCTGAGTGTGCAGGTCTCAAGCTAGAAGATGTCTACATCACCAGGACAACCCCCTGCTATATGGCTTGGGCCCCTATACTATAGGCTGGTTAGATCTCTTTCCCTTCCCAGGCCACACCCTGTTCCTCTGGCCCGCCCCAGCCTGCTCCCTACAGTTCTGGGAGTTTTGACCCTAGAGATGACGCAGGCCCCAAGTCTTTGAAGCAAAGCATCATTTTAATTTTTGAAAGGTACACCCAGAGCGCCCACAGGCCCCAATCCTTGCCTCAAGGAGGCATGAGGAGACCCTGAGGCCCCGGATGTGAACAGGGGTGGAAACCAGGGAGAAGGCCCCCCAACCTCACCTTGTTATCCTGCGGGCCTCCAGGTGGCTGGGGGAGTCTCTCCGGCGCTTCCTCATGGGTGAGTAGGACCGCCTTCTCCGGCGCGCTCTCTCGCGCTCCCTTTGCTGCGAATCCTCACTGAACTTGGGGTCCCGCTCCCTGGAGGTGAGCAGGGGGTGTTACTGGGAACTGGGGCTCAGGTGGCTTTTCTCATTGCCCCACTTCCTCTCGGCACCTGTCCCCTTTACCCCACTGTGGCAGGCAGATGGCCCGCCTGTGGGCCAGGCCCTGTGGATGAGCACCCTGTGTGTGAGGGGGGAGGGAGTTGGGTGTGTTTAGGGGTGTCAGCCTTCACGCGTGGGCGTCATAGCGGTGCAAACGCTGCAGGGGTGAGGATGTGTCTCCCTGGCGTTTTGGGGTGTGTGGTAAGATTTGGGGCTCTGAATACGTGACAAAAGGTGAGGAGAAAGAGGCTATGGGATTGCTTGGGGTGGACATCAGGACACAGATATATTTGGGCCTTGCTGCAGCTCGGAACTGGAGGAAGAACTGTGAGGAGGAAAGAGGAACAGGGCAGGCTGGGTTTGAGGGAAAAGGGCTGGGAGGGGCGGGGCTGGGAAGCAGGGGTGTGGCTTAGAAGGCGGGGCCTATTCTGGGGGCGGGGCCAGTGCCGGGGGCGGGGCCGGTACCTGTTAGGGCTGTAGCGGGAGTAGCTGGGGCTGCGGCGGGACCGGGAGCTTCTGCTAGGAGGGCTCCTCTTGCCAGACTTGGAGGAGTAGCTGGGAGAGCGGGAGTAGGACCTGGGGAAGAGGTTAGGCGACCATTTTCTTTCTGGAAGCCCAGCGGAGCAGAAACCAGGCCCTTATCAGAGAATGAAATCCCTTTGGGAGCTAAATAATATGGATAACTTCTTTCTGAATGCTTGCTATCCTGGCTATTTATTAACTGTGTGACTTTGGACAGGGGTTTCACTTCTCTGGGTTTCCGTTTTCTCATCTGTAAAATGGGAGTAATTATAATAGTACTTACCCTGAAAAGTCATAAATCAGATGTATCTATTAGGGTAAGTCACTTGGTACATGTGCTAAATAACAATTAGCCAGCACAGGAGAAATGTGGACTATTACTAGTATGCATTTAGCCACGGTCTAAAAATATTAAATGGAAAATTCTAGAAATAACTCATCCATTTTAAGCTGTGTGCTATTCTGAGTAGCATGATGAACTCTTGTGATGTGAGTCATCACTGTGTCAGCAGGTCCACCATGTATATGCTGCCTGCCCTGTTAGTCACTTAGAAGTCTTCTCATCAGGCCCACTAGCACAAGATTGCAGTGCTTGTGTGCGCACAACCCTTATTTTACTTAATTATGGCCCCCTAGTGTAAGACTAATGATAGGACTGTTCAGATTGGCCAAGGAGGAACTATAGTGGTCTTTTTTAAAGTGAGGCTAGTGTTCTTGGCTTGCTAAGCAAGAAAAAAATATATATATATATGCCCCGTATGCTAAGGTCTATGGTGATATCTCTGTGAATTATAGGGAATTTCCACTAGTTTTGCTGCCACCTCTGAAACTGCAAGAGTTAGCATCACAGTGTGATCATTGCTTAGTTAAGATGGAAAAACATTTCCTTATAGGGCTTGGTACTAGTGGTGTTTGCAGGCATCCACTGGTGGAGGGGAGCTGGAATACATCTGAAGTTAAAGTGTGTGTGTGTGTGTGTGTGTGTGTGTGTGTGTGTGTGTGTGTGTCTGTGTGTGCGCGCACACACGCTTGTGCGAGGGGGCTACTCTATATTTCTAACTCCTCTGTTCCTCTCAGTTTTCTTTCCTCTGCTAGTGCCTCCTTCATTTAGGTAACACAGTAGAGAAGGAATATCTCATTCCATCTCAGTGTCCTGTGCCAATGTCTAGCTGTGACACCGCGAAAAGTTGCTTTTGCTAACTCACTCTTTCTGAATTGAGGAATATTATAAGCAAGAATTAAAATGCACCATGTTTGTAGACATATGGGAAAGATGTGATCTCAGGCATTTCCATCCATTGACTATATCATAGAGTGTTCCTGTTCTGCAGATCTATGAAGTCATTTTTATAATCTTAAAATCAAAAATAACTGCTTTTCTGAACAACTGGCTCAATTAGTTTCTTTTTGGTAGTAATGTAACAAGGGAGCAATTTCTCTCCTTGCTTTGTCTGTAGGAAGCTCAGACTCATATTTGCAGTCCACCCTCATAGCAGCTATACAGTAAAGGACGTGACTTTTGGCCTTTTCTCCTGGTACCAGTTTTTATTTCTCTTCTTAATTTTCTTTTTAGTTTAATCTGCTGTCTTTACTGATGTCATAATGCTGAATATTATTGTAATGTTGAATATTATTATTAGCTGCATTGCTTTATTTTCTGGAATGGATGGTCTTGAAATAACCAATTAAGTAAGCATCTAATTTTGTTGTTGTTGGTTTTTTTTTTAAACTGTATTATTATAGAAAAGGAATGATCAGTCTGCCTTTGGGAATTTTTTATTTGCCTAGAATCCAGGGAAGCCATGCATTGATCAGATTGGATGAAATCTTCTAATTCTTTAAGTCCTGATACCTCATACCTATACATCCTACTATATCATTATCCACAATCAAGCAATTACCAATTATTACTGAAGTTAGGAGGGAGAGGTAAAGGATGCAAAACCAGCTACAATTACTAACCCTGTACCCCAGCTTTAGCAGTGTGAATCTGCAGCTGTTCCCATGAAGAAGAGCATGCTTACATCTGGACTGGTCTAGTGACTTGCTGTGCCCAACAGACTAACAGAAAGGATGTCATGTCACTTCTAATCCCAAGACTAAAGAATGCTTTACAGACTCTCAGACCCCTGTCATCATCATGTGAAAATGCAGACAGACCTGTTGGGTGGGCACATTGAGCAGAGATTACTAATCTGGGGTTATCCAATCCACCCAGACTCCAGCTAGCCCACCAGCAGATCAAAGACACAGGACAGAGTACAAAAAGTGCAGAAGAACTGGCCAGCTGAGCCCAGCCACAATTGCTGATTCACAGAGTTTAGGGCTAAGTGAACATTTTGTTTTAAGGGTGCCAATCTTGGGAGTAACATTTTCTGCAGAAAAAGCTAGTTTATCGTGAGGCCAGTACCTAGGAAATAAATAATAATTAAAAGTCATTATTTTCCAAGAACAGCTCTCAGTGCTTTATAGTGCTCAGAATGATACATTGCTTCATTTTGTGGGTTAGAGAGGTTCACTAATTTTACCAAGGCCACCAGCTAGCAATTGGATAAAACAAGTATTCAAACTTAAGTCTCTTTTTGATTTCATGCATCTGACTCTTCTCCTCCATGCATCAAAGGACATCTCCAGCTACATTAATTCATGCCAAGGAGCGAATTCAGCAGGGTAAAGGTCAAACTGCACTCACCTTTTTTCAGAGGAGGTGGATCGGCTCCGAGTGTACCTGGGAGAGGCCCTGGGGTTTGGGGATCTGGAAGAACGACTGGAGGATCGGGTGCTGGCGTAGGAGGAGCTGCGGGAGCACTCTTTCAGAGGGGAGCTTTGGCCTGTGGATGGAACCAAACTGGACTTCTTCACCTCGGCACACTCCAGACATGGTGACTGAAATCCTCTGCAGGAAGGGAAGGTCTGTTACTACTCAGCTGGCCACTACTCTGGGCACATCTTGACCAAATATTTACCTCTCTGCCACTGCCTAGGCTATGCTATTCTCTCCCAGGAACCTCTTTCCAGCTTTTCCTACCCTGGAAAGATTTGCCAAGAAGTAGGCATTAGAGGAACAGAACAAAAAGACACCCTACAAGTGGATGGTCCAGCTCAGAATTCCCAGCTGTGGAACACATACTATAGGTACCACTGCAGAGTACCTTGGGAGGTCCTTGGGAGCGGGCACGATGCTAAATAATGTCAGATCAATGTGGAGAGATTTAGTCCCCTTTCACTTTTTCAGTCCCTCTGATTACAATTACGAGAAAGCCTTGGCGAGGTGCAAGTAACTCCTTAATACTCTAACTCTGTAATTTTTCAAAGAGAAAGAAGCAGGTCCCAATGTAGCTATGATTAAATATATTATTTCAATATACCTATATTGCAGGTACCTTCTATTTAGGGCAAGGGATGCTAATTTTCTGCTTTGGATGGCACTGTAAGTTTTCTTTCAGTTACTTATAGAAAAAGTGAGTTTTTCAAACAAATAAATTAGTACATAAGCATGTTAAAAATCAAGAATGTGACCTGGGGTTGGTTTAAGTTTGGGAAACTGGGATGTAGCCCGTTTTTCAGAGGGAGGGAATGGTAGAGACATCTTCAGACTTTTTCACTCAAGGGACTTCACAAGCATTGTTTCATTTAGGCTTCTCAGCAACCTTATGAGAGTGGACCTACTATTACCTCAAACTTACAGAGAAGACTCAGAAGGATGAGGTATTTGATCAAGGTCACCCAGAATCCCAAACTGTAACCCACTCATCTCCAAAGTCTGTGTCCCTGTCACCTCCTCAGCTTCCTATGTTCTGTGTTGATGGTTCTCTTGATTTCAAGCAGATGCATCTTCCTCTCAGGTCATATTTACTGAGTCCTGTGCCCAAAGCTGGCACGACATAAATAGCATGGATTTAACCATCATTTAAAAATCAAAGTGCAAGGCAGGGTCTAAATTATTTAATTTGGCTGTCTGCATATATTAAATTAAGCAGGTGACATTCAGTTTTGGGGGCAGATTTGTATTTGAATGCTGATGCTGCCACTTAGTAACTGAGTTTGTCAACTACTCTAAGTGTCACTTTCCCCCATATGTTTTTTAAAAAGCTTATAATAGTATCTATCCCATAAAGATTTTATATGGAATTAAGAAAGATTATTCATGGAAAGTATTTTACATAACTAGCATGTGGTCAGAGCTCAATGAATATTAACTGCCATTATTATTATTATTATTGCTATTCTGAATTTTCCCTGCATAATACCCTGCAGGGTATCAGTAAACACGTGGTTTCCACCTCCCATCTGGGAACCGCACTGCCTGTTCTTAGAGACTCTGATATTTGCTCTGACCCAGCTCTGGTTCCCAGCCAAGCTTAGGTATGAGCTGAGGTCAGGGATGTCCCGGGACAGGCCAACCAGAGGCCACATCTACATGTAGATACCAAGCTGTTTATCCAGGACTGAAGCAGGCTATGTGTTAGGAACAAAGGGTTCTCTGTCCTTGAAGAAGCTGTTACCTGCTTCAGTGCTAAGGCTCTGGCTACCTTTTAGAAATCTTGGGAATGGCTGAGGATTTAGCTCAGTGGCATAAGCACCTGTCTGGCAAGTATGAGTTCATGAGTTTGATCCCCAGCACCAAAGAAAAAAGAAAAAGAAAATAGAAATCTTGGGTACTTTGAACAAAGACAGACTCCCACCCCCACCCCCAGAAAGAAGCGGGTTCCATTGTTTGTCTGGTAGAGAACACTGGTCAAGCTCCCCCTACTCTGCATCTGTGACCTACCCCAGGAACTTTAAAACTCCAGAGAAATCAGCCATGCCAATTTTATATCCCCAGCACCAAGCTCAGTGCCTGGCAGAGGAGGTGCCCAGTTATCAGGTTGAGGGATAAATAACTGCATGAAGGTGCAGACTGAGCAGTCAGTACAGCTTAGTAGCCATTATTTTTGCCAGTACCCTCAGTGATTAGGATCCTCCTGTGGTTTCTTGAGTGAGAGAGAGCAAAATGGTGATGAAACAGAGGAACTGTAAGCCAGTTTGTAAGTGAATGTATGGGCGTGTTTCCTACAGAAAGCCTGCATTTACCAAGTTTGTTGATGTGAACCAAAACTTTTTACCTAAAATCATACTGCGATCTACCTGTCTGTCTCTCTGTCTAATCTTTAATTAGGAAGCTTTATTTTAGAGGAGTTTGGTAAGAGTCATAGAATAACTGAATGGGAAGCATAGGGGATTTCCACGTGATCCTTTCCTCCACACACGTACAGCTGCATCGCTCACTAGCAACCCCTCACTGGTGTATTTGTCGTGATTAATGAACCACCTTGACACATCATTATCACTCAAAGTCTAGAGCTTACATTGGGATTCATTCTTGGTGGTGAACATTCTGTGGGTTTAGAGAAGTGCATAACGGCATTTATCCATCATTGCTGACCATATAGAATAATTTCAGTGCCTTAAAAATCCTCTGTCCTTTCCCATTCATCCCTCAGGCCCTCAACCACTGGCAACTACTCATCTTTCTATTTTCTCAAAAGTTTTGCCTTTTCCTGAAAGTCATATAGTTGGGCTCATACCATACATGTATGACTTTTCAGATTGGATTCTTGGGTTCTTTCACTTAGCAATATGTATTTAAGTTTCCTTGGTGTCTCTTTGTGGCTTGGTGAAGCTATTCTTTTATCTATGAATGATATTCCATTTTCTGGGTCTAATGGTTTATTTATCCATTCATCTACTGAAACATATCCTGGTTGCTTTTTAGTAATTATGAATACAGCTTCTGCAAATATTCATGTGAAGATTTTTTTGTGTGGATATATTTTCAATTCATTTAAGTAAATATTATGGGATATTAAGTGGCCATGACTTAAATTTAATTAATGCTAGATTATCTCTGAGATTATTGATACAACTGGCATCCACTTTTGCCTGCATAGCCTCCATCCTTCTGATTTCAATACCTTAGCTTTACTTGCAGATGAATCTGGGAAAGCTGTATTCTTAGTCCCAGCTGTGGCATGCAACACATTCTAGTCAAGGGCACAGCATTCCCGAGGTTAGAATGCTTGGTCCAGGGCTGGGCAACTGACCTAAGCATGGCCATGTGCAACCAATAACCACTTTCCTTGATGTCTTGAAGTAATTTTTAGGGAAAAAAAAAATCCTTCTATCGGAGGACTACCCTGACAGAATGTTAGTTGCTTAGCGTACCTGCCAGTTCTCTCGGAGTGTCTACCTAAGAACGAGGTGGGTAGAACTGAGCGATGCAATAGTACAGATTCCCTATGATTATTTTGAGTCACTGGATCCTGCTATCCCTGAAGCTAGTGCTCTTGGGAAAAAAGAAAAGTCAGTTTGAGTTGAGTTTTCTCTTCGTTGAAAGTAAGACTCATGAGAGAAGGATGGAGACAGCCTGGAGAAAGCTGAGACCCTTTCTCCCCACCAAGCACACTGACCTTGACTCTCTGCCCCTGCTGGGGGGAGAGAGATTCTCCAGACTGGCCCCTTTGTTCTGGGGTGAGGAGGTGGTGAAGGAATTCCCTGAATCCGAGGTGTTGCCGCTGTTCAGCTCCTGGCCTTTGCTGAGACCCGCACTGGGGCTCCCCTTCTCCTGGCCCTGAGACCTGGCTGAGCTGGTTTGCGTGGAGGGTGGCGAGGATGTGTCATTGCCTGAGTCATACTCCTGTGAGCGTCCTCGGGAGGTGGCGAGCGGGCTGGCTGTTTTGGTAAAGAGGTCAGCGGCAGACCCCGACCCAGTGATCTGAAAGCAAAAAGACCCGTCGGACACTGCTGAGCTCTGGCCTGTGTCTAAGTAACTGAGAATGTTTACCGTCATGATGCACTGTAACGAAAGGAAAGAGAGAGGAGAAGAAAGAAGAGACGCCAAAAAACAAAAGCACAAATTCCTGAAAGAATACCACAGAAAGGAGATATTTTTTTACCCCCTGCTAGGATAACTGGAAGATTTAGGTATCATGCAGAGAAAAAAGCATGCGATCCAGATTAAACAAAAGCAAAAGGAAATTATACAAAATTTAATTTCTAATGAATTAACTGAAACAAAAGAGACAACTCAATAGAAAGGGGTATGTACACCCCTAACCTAAAATAATAATAAAAATAAAGGAAGGGGAAGAGGGAAAATAAACGGGGCTATGGGCCTGAAAAAGAATATCTTGGAAATTAAAACAAAAACAGAAACAAAAACAGAGATAAAGCCAAAATTTTAAACTTCAACCAAAACCTCAATTAATGTAGCTTTTTTTTTTTTTTTTTGGAAAAAAAAAAGAAAGAAAAGAAAAAGCTTCCTGAATAGAACCTTGAGTAAATGTCACATGGGGAAAAGAAACGAAACAAAGATGAGGGTTTTGTGTGTGTGTGTGGGTGCATGTGCGTGTTTTTTAAAAATATAAAGTCATGGTCGCAAATTGACATTTGAACAGTTTTCAACTGAAGGGGAAAAGAAAGGAGCGGGGCAAAATAAATGGAAGTCAAATAGTCTGACTGAAAACAAACAAACAAAAAAAAGTCTCTACAGGTGCTTGTGTATGTCCTTTTCCCCTTGTAGAAGATAGCTAAGGATCTTGAGTGGCTTCTAATAAATTCTCTCATGTCTTTGCGGATTATATCCACTTACCAAGCAAGAACTCCTCCTTTAGTAGGTAAGGTGTAAGAGAAAGGGAAGAGCGGGCAACGTGAGTCCATCATCAGAGTCGCAAATGACAAGAAAAAACACACACCTTTCTGCACATCCTTACATTGGGCCCTGAGCTTTGAGTTTTGGGGTTCTTTTTTTTTTTTTAGCGATCTTGATAGGTGGGGGCATCCATTTTGTTTGGTTTCCTCATTCAGGGGATGGAATTCAACCTAGCCAATCATTCATGTCCCGGTTGAGTCAGGAAACCCTTGCTATGTATGCAAATGAGGCTACAGCATTGCATGACTTGGGTTTGGACCTCAAGGGCTTGCAGAGGAGGGAGAGGGTACTTTGCAACTGACTGCTTTGGAAAGGGCTTGAGGATTTGGTTTTGAACTAACTGGGGATGAAGGTTGGCCCTTACGACCCAGATTTGCACTGGTCTAGGACAGATGATGGAGTAGAGGAGGTGATGGAGAGCCATCACTGGGAAGGCAGTTGAAGTTGTGATAACACAATGGATGGTTTCCTTTAACCTTCAGATCAGTATCATGGCTGGGACGACAGAGAATCTAGTTTTGGCTCCTGACAACAATTACCATCCCTGCCCTGAGCATTCCCTAGTGATAACCCAGGGAATCTATGGGGCCAGCAGGGCACCCCGTGAAGAACATCCCCCCAACCCAACCATTCTAGTCCTGCAACCCCAGGACTCTGTTTAAATGGTCCCTGAGCTCCCTTCCTGGGTATTTATATGTCTCATCTATGGATCTGTTTTCTTATGAGTAGACCATGCTTCAAGGGTACATACTAAGGTGGCTATTTGGATAGAACTCACACATCCATGCTAAGGTACTTATGTACATGCGTGTGGGGTCCAGCACAGTGCCAGCAGTGAGAAGCAGAAGGGAGGAGCCCCGACTTTGGGCAGGTTCTCCTCACACTGTCATTTCATGTTTTGGCTCTGTGAAGGACCCAAGATTCTGAATTCAAAGCTGATTTTCAGGTCGTTTTGCAGATGTTTGGCAAGATAGGAAGACATGTTCTATCAGTGCTTACAGACTTGAACATTAGACTTATGAACATTAGACTATAGAACAGTAGACCTTTTTCTGTAGTCTAGCTCTGGACCCCACTCATATCAAAGCTTCATCCCCAAGAGTCTACCCCCATGTACTTCCCCATCCCATGGTCCTTGGGCCAAAGAAGGGACTTCTAGGCTTCTCTACACAATTTCCGCCTTCCAGCAATTAGTCACAAGGTGAAATACAGAGATACTGGAACTTTGGGAATAACTGAGGTAACTCCAGCAGCTTAAGTTGTTAACTCCTGAGGCTTCTTTTATGGATGGAGGGCCCCAGGGTTTCTTTTATGAATACTTCTGTTAGGCTTTGTGCACAGGCAAGATGCTAAGCCACTTTGCGAAGTTCAACCCAGTGCAGCTGCTGTTTACCTGTTGGTGATCAGGCTAGCTTTGTATTACAGGTAAGACCTTAGTAGTAAGTTAGTCCAGGTAGAATTTTCTAGTGAGACTTATAAGAACATTAGAGATCCTGTTTCCACTCAGCTCCTATTTGCTTTCTGGTTTGCAGTTGGGATGACATCGCTACTGGCCTCTGAATTTCGGTGATAACGCGTGTTTCCCCACCACTGCCTCTGTCAGGAAGGAGGAAGGAGAGTGCCAGGAAGTTAAACCCTGGAACCTGAGCTTTCGGACTGGGGCTTGATCCAGGAATGGGCTCAAGAAATCTGTGTTCCAGTGGGTGGGAGCTAGAATATCACAAATGAATCCGGCAAGCCCATCTTCAAAGGAACTAGGCTAGAATCTAATTCAACCTAGAGGTCCGTGAGTGCGGTAGTTTCCAGTGTCTCCTGGCTTGTTACGTGGGAGCAGCCAGGCTGGGTCTCTTCTCCGTTACTTGTCCTCAGTTTTGATATCTGTTTGCAAAGTGTTTTTCCCTGTATGTTATGGGACCTCATGAGTAAGGATTTAAGAGCTGATGTCCTTTCAGCTTGGTGGATGAAGAAGGGCACCTTGCATTGGGTTTCACATTCTTAGCCCCACACCTGAACTCACAGGGATATTTTCAGTCTCTCTCCTCCTGGCCATGATTTGTATGGTTAGAACTGAGAACCCCACAGCCATCATACTTTTCCATCATGACCAGAAAACAGAGATAAGCATATTATTGAAACATTCACATTAGGTTGACTGTGGTGTGAGAAAATACCAACTTTTCCTTGGTTAGCAATCCCATTTCTTTGCATGAATCTAAACCTTTGACATGGATTACAACCTCCTTTGCAATTAAACACTGCAGACTTCACAAATCTCATCCCTTCCACACACTTCCATATTCGCTGCCATGATCTAAGCTGACCAGTTTGAGGTTTCTTGGTTCTGCCACTGTGTCTTTCTCTCCCAAACTCTGGTCATTGTATTTGCTATTTCCTTTGTACAGAACACTCTTGTTTCTCCCCCACTAACAAAACTTAAATTTACATTCACCCTTTAGGCTTTATATCATCTTCTTTAGAAAGACTTCTCTCATCCCCCAGACCAGAACAGCAGAGTACTCTGTATTTCATTCATTCATTCATTCATTCATTCATTCATTCATTCATTCAGTCAGTCAGTCTTTCTTCCATTCACTCATTGAGGAATGAGAGCCATTGTGTTATAACACTATTGCTCCAAGCTGTAGTTGCCCTGGATGGGGAGATGTTGGGGGCAGTACATCTAGCATCCTATAATATTTACATGGGTACTAAACTGCAACTATCACTTGGTTTGGTTTGCTTAGAGGATAATTGGGCAGGGAACAAGCAGCCATCTAAAGTTCTGTCTGTCTTCCTTATTCTTTAGCTGAACCTTATCTGATTTTATTTTTATAAGTCCTGATGGCTCTGTTTGTTACTGCACATGGTAAAAGCATTTTAATAAACTCATCGTTAGAAGTGCCTGGAGAGTTTAATGGCCTTCTAACCCTGACTCCCCCTTCAGGTGGGTGCAACTCTCCATCCACCCACATGAAGAAGAGGAAAAAAAGATTGCAGTTGAGAGGAACCCAAGATGGAATGAGGTGATACTGTGAAAATGCACAGGAGGACTTTGAGTCATGAGTTCCCTGACTGGTTGCATGATGGAGGATCCTGCATGTCTTCCTGTCTGTGAGCCTCTCTTTCCTAGCCGGGGTTCTTCTGGCCCATAAGATGCAATCACCACTCAACACTGGTGTGATAGGGTAGTTTCCCTTTGCTCCTCTCTGTCCATCACTTAGATAACTGGCCTTTCAAAATTCATTTTTGAAGAGCTCTTCTGCAACTGTCAGGAATTTCTGTGCATGTAACTACTGTCTATCCCTGTATGACTAACTGGATGGGAAATGCTCCCCAAGACTACCACCAGAATATGCCATCCCCTATTTATCATCCTCCAGTAATAATGTCTTTGTGGTGCCCAGGATCTCCACTTAAGACCTGGAACACTTACACTAGGGCTCTGTTCTTTGGTCCAATCTCACCCCTCCCTTCATCTCAACCCACATCTTTTCTGCCCTGCCTTTCCAGAAGCCTACCTTTGGGATAGGGCAAAAAATTCAGTCCTGGCCTCATTATCAAGTCACATAACTCCTGCCTAACCTGGATTCCAAGAAACTGAAACAGGAATTAGAGTGCTGATAGTTTATTTGAGAGGAAAAGGGGTGGGGAAATGAGCTGACAGAACAAATCAAAGATACATTGTCAGTCCATAAAGGGGGCAGTGGTAGCTGAATTCCATAGGGGCCACTGTGCGAATCTACGTAGAATATATACTCCAGCTTTAGCAGAGGCCAAATAAGGTCGGAGCTGGGGATTTATAGACCAGCTCTGCAACATTTCTGGGCCAGAAAGTATCATCTAGAAACTGGAAGACAGCTGTGTGCCCTGAATCAGGGAGAATGAAGAGACAGATATAGGAGAAGTTTGTGCTTTAGTACCCTAAAGCAATGCAGAAAAACTAGCTAGCCAATTGGTGCTTTGTCTTGGATATGTTTTCTTTCGCCCACTTTCCATGTTTGTAAACAAATTTAAGTTAGCTGCCAAAATGTGGGAAGTGGAGAGATCTCACATAATAACCCCAT